TCAACACACTAATACCTCATCAACTGGTTTCAATCAACAACCCATTTCATTTTGCAGAAACAAAAATTCCATCCATACAAATTCAGAATATGTCATGCGCTAAAACCAGGCGATGACGAAAGGCGCAGGACATTCTGTGAGTGGTATACCAGGAAATGTTAAAATTTTGCAGATTTCTTTCGAACAATCATCTGGACTGATGAAAGCATGGTCACCAATCATGGTAGCTTCGATAGAAAAAATACACATTATTGTTCACGAGAAAATGAACATTTATACATTACAGCGAGACACCAACACCGTTTCGGCTTTAATATGTGGGTTGCAATATTTGGTACACGAATTATTGTTCCTTCTATTTACCATGAAACACAGACTTCCGAACGTTATAGAAATTCGCTTGAGAATCATCTTGAGGAAGCTCTGGATGATTTACCGATTGCGGAAGTTCAGAACTCTGTTGGTTTCAACAAGATGGCGCTCCGGTACATAATTCCAGAGAAGTCCGTGCGTTTTTATCCCTTGGCCGGCGCGGTCGCCTGATTTGACACAGCTGGATTTTTTCTCAGGGGATATATCGAACTTTATACACGCAAATAACTTTGAGGATGAAGAAGAACTAAGGGACAGTGTCTTCGAAGCATTCAATAGAATAACCCCAGAAAGCCTTAGCAATGTCTTAGAAACAACTGTGTGAAGAGGATATCTTTGTTCAGAAAATAATGGTTATCATTTTGAACATTTGTTATGAATGTCTCTGTAGGTATTGTCAAAGTTAAGTTGTTAAAGTAATTCGTGTAAGAATTCATCAACAATTTTAAACGCTGCATTGATCGAATGATGTAGTGAAATATTTTTCATTCACTTTCCAGTATTGAATAACTAATCCATCAAGTTTGACACTAAATGATAAGAAATAAGTGGAACTGATGGCTTTTTTTCTTTTGGAAGTTCGAAAAAACATTGATGATGGATAGAAATAGGTCGAAACACATTCGAATCACCTTGTATAATACATTGTTGAATTCAGAATAAAAAAACCTTTCAGAATCTGTGAAAAATTATCAGGACCGTATTTAAAAAACGAAAGTTGATGATGGTTCCACGAATACGAAACGTCGCATAACAAAATCGGTATCACCACGTTAAACCTCATCGAAAGTTGCAATGGAAAAGTATTTTCAGTTTTTCTGTATCTCTGATAATAACGGAGAAAAAAAATAAAATAGAAATTCCAAAAATTCACTTTTTTCGATATAACTCAAAAACTAAAAATAATTTTCAAAATTTTCGAAAGCTCTTGATATGCGCCTCCAAATGCGCAACTTTTTCCCAATTTAAGCGACTTCGTATCTTCTACCGTTTCCGAGATCCCCATGCTGTTCAACCTTATCTTGGACAGACTGTATATGGTCATAAAATTCACTAACTTTTCTTTGAGAAATAAAGCTTATACATAATTGAAACAATATTGGTATAACTTAACGAGAATCCTGTAGAAACATTTTTTGGGAGATTATGCACCTAAATCTGTAATATTCAGCTGATGAATAAGTACCTACTTAACAAGTAATAAACTGAATATTGTTTATTGAAAGTATGAAACTTTATCGATCTTCTTTCGGATCTAATGAAACTAAACATCCTGTCAATACATGAAAATTATGATGTGTTTAGGACTTCATCGTCGTGAAATATACGAATAAACACTTCAAAAAACAACTACTCGCTGATATGAGTAAAAAAATCAAGTGGCTATCGAATAGAAGTTTCAATTACTGTTTGATAATTTGGCATACCTAACCAAATCCCAAGAAAATCTTTGGAACATTTGGAAACAGATTAAAAAATCATGGATATCGTTCATTGGGATAATTTGCTTGTATCTAAGTATACCGGGTGTTTCTCAAAAGTGGCTCACCCCTATAACTTTTTTGTTCATACAGATAAACAAATGAAATTTGGTGTGTTAGTATAGTACATATACATGCATTATTTGACGTATTCAATTGTTTTCTGTCACTTTCGGTTTGACCAGAAATGACCCATATATTCTTATTTTAAATGGGACACCCGGTATATATTCACTTTCTTCGATAGAGAATAACATTGTGAGTATAACGACATCCCATTGCCAGCTTATTAACATTTATCATCTTGAAATTTCCATTCTTCACTCTTGAATCTAGAATGCCATGAATGAGTTGACTTTGAATCATGTTGCCTAGGCAAAATAGTTCCTTTCAAAATTTATAATATCGTAATTATGATGTTAACTCAATATTTTCAAATGGAACAACAAAGTGGCTCATTACTATATCTGAAAGAGTTATTTTGTTACGAACACGTTGATACCACATAATCGATATTTTGAATCAATATCCAGTATCTTAATCACTCTAGATTGAGAATTGAAAAATGAAACATTCAGGATGATAAATCTCAAAAAGTGGAAAATGGGATGTCATTTTCCTCACAATAAGTCAAAATATACAGGGTGTCCCGGTCAGACCGGAAGTGACAGAGAACAATTGAATACGTCAAATAATGCATATTCATGTACTCTACTTACACACCGAATTGCATTTGTTTATTCATAGAAACAAAATAGTTAGAGCGGTGAGCCACTTTCGAGAAACACCCGGTATGTATACACTTGTAATTTTGCCACTAGTTGGCGCAGAAGGCTACATTTTATTTCTCGTGCCTATAGTATGATTTCTGAGGCATGGCAAATCGAAACAGTCTGTTTTTCAGCTGCCAAGCAATTCAGAAGAATCTCCTGGAATTTCTTAGTCCTGAGACGACAGTTTTTCATTAATCGAAAATTGATATCACTAATCAAAGTTATATATGAACCAACTTATCATGGATGTTGATGAAATGGTTTTGTCCTCTTCTGTCCTTTTTCCATTCGGGATTTCCACCAATGGAAGCAAGTTTGATGGATCTTTCAATTCAGATTTTTCTTGAGCTGCCATCATCAACTTTGTTTTTCAAAATACTAATTTTTTACAAGAATTACAATAGCTCTTGATTTCCCTGAATCAACGATGTATTGCACTTATTCGAAAAATTCATAATATTGCATTTCCCATAAGAATTAATATATTAGAGAGACACCGAGAATGGATTTTTTTATAAGATTAAAAACACCTTTTTTGAATAAGTGCGATACACCATTGACTTAAAGACGTTAAAAGTTCTTGAAATCCATGGCCGTATTAAAAAAAATAAAGTTGATGATGGCAGCTCAAAGTCATAAAGTTGGTTTAAAAATATGATGACACCATCTTGTAGAACAGAAAAAGTGACAATTAGAATGTGTAATTTGTTATGCTGCATCTATAGATAGATAGATTCGTTTATTGTGTTTAGAAAAATATATTTTCATCACAAGGGTTCGAATTATATGCGATCATGATTATGCAGTAACAGTGACTGATCTGAGTGAAATGAATGAAGTGACGAGAAAAAGAAACTGAAGCTGGAAAAGGAAAAAAAAAACATTGTTTCATAGTTATAGAAAAATCCCATATATACATACCTACATATAAGTTTATTTATACCTACCTATAACGCCTAATACCCGAGAAAGTACCAAAAACAATCCCTAACAGCTTAAAATTCATTAATTTATAATGAATGCTCGTAACTTCATAATATTCATCAAAGACTGCACAAGCTCTGTAAGATATACAATGTTGTGGGTGTTGAGTAGAAAAGTACTAGATCATCAATACTTCTGGAATTCTGACAAAATCGCGTTTTGCCTCATGCCTGAATAGATAGGGCCTAAAACAGAATATGTTGCCGCTACCAAGATCCCCACTCTACTCGAATTTTACTCACCCTATGAGTCAGTGCTGCCAATGTGCGGAGGATCCTCCGAAAAGGGGTTGTTTTTGGCGTTAGAGGTTTTTTTGAAGGAGGATTCACGAAAAGCGGAGGAAAGGGGTTTTTTTAGCCATCACTGTAATTTTGTTACTCAACTTTAGTGTCTTTAGTTGAGGCTTGTGCGCGCAATATCTGACCATGATCATGATCGTATCCTCCGTGAGTCTATTAAGTCGGAGTCTGTGTTCTTGTTCCGAGCTTCTGTGGTGGTTTGAACAAGAATATTATATGACCATCGGTGGTCGGTGTCAATGATGTGAATGTTGTCAAGTTCCATAGTCATAAGTTGCGTTTTTATCCGATTCCACCACCGGAATCACTTTAATGTGTCGTTTCATTACTTTTCCGATTCTGGTTGCAACCTTTCATTCCGTCTCACTTAAAGGAATTGCATGGAATAACTGTTGACAGTTCTGTTGTCAAAAAATTAAATTAGATTGACGAAAAACGAAACTTTTTGAAAGACATTTCAAGACATTTTTATCGTGAAGTTCACAAGTTTAAATAAGACATGTTTCATATGTTCATTTCCAAATAAAATTAATTCTCTCGATCTGAGAGAGGTTTATCCAATCACCACAATCATTGCTCCAAATATTTATTGATTGATTTTTTAGATTTCTAACTCTTGTATCAAGATTTTGAAAGCATTTATTGAAGTCTCGATATATAAATATAACCTCCTATATGTTGGTTGACTAATCTCTGTCCCATGCAATTGTCATGAAGATTCTCGTTTCATTTTAAAACGTCATTTTGTTCCCACCACCGCTACCAGAATTGAACAAATAAAACGCAACTATAACCTCATCATTTATGTGACGTCAGATTTCGTTCCATTTCATACCTTTTATAACAGTGTCGAAAAGAGGAGGTTTTCGTTCATTTGCGGAGGATTTCACGTGCTAAGGAGAAGAAAGGACTCGAATTGCATTGGCAGCACTGCTATGAGTATCTATTAACCCGTTTCACGGTACCTATCTACGTTTGTTCCAGATGAACGCCCCGAGTCGTTGAAACTCCCCCCACCCCTACACACCCCCCACAACACCATCGACCCTCCTCCGACCGCCTACCACCCCGCCCCTTGCCCCCACCGATAGCTCCCACCCCCACCCGCTCCCACATACCAAACTGGCCCACCAGTTCTGGATATCGTACCCGCCGCCGGGTGCCGGCAGCTCGACCGGCGCCAAGGACAAGGAGAAGGGTCCGCCCACCGAGGAGGAGAAGAGGACGGCGGCGGCGGCGACGAGAGAGCAACGGCTTTTGGAGTACGACATCGCCGTCAAGGTGAGAGTTTGAGATTTTATTCTTACATCTTTCCTGTCTACTCTCTACTGTCTACTTTCCACTCTCTACTCTATACTCGTTATTCTCTAATCTCTACTCTCTACTTTTCACTTTCCACTTTCCACTTTCTACTCTCTACTCTCTACTCTATACTCTTCACTCTTCACTCTCCACTCTCCACTCTCCACTCTTTACTCCTTGTACTCTCTCTCTATACTATCTCTACTTTCTCTCTAGTCGCTTTCGGCTCGTCCTACTCTCTACTCTCTAATCTCTACTCTCGTCTCTCTACTCTCTACTCTCTACTCTCTACTCTCTACTCTCTACTCTCTACTCTCTACTCTCTACTCTCTACTCTCTACTCTCTACTCTCTACTCTCTACTCTCTACTCTCTACTCTCTACTCTCTACTCTCTACTCTCTACTCTCTACTCTCTACCCTCTACTCTCTACCCTCTACCCTCTACTCCCTTTCTTCTACCCTATACACTCTACTCTCTACCCACTACCCTCTGCTCTCTACTCTCTACCCTCTACTCTCTACACTCTCTACTCTCTACTTTTTACTCCCTTCTATCTACTCTCGACTCTCTACTCTCTACTCTGTACTCTCTTCCCTCTTCCCTCTTCCCTCTTCCCTCTTCCCTCCTCCCTCCTCCCTCCTCCCTCCTCCCTCCTCCCTCCTCCCTCCTCCCTCCTCCCTCCTCCCTCCTCCCTCCTCCCTCCTCCCTCCTCCCTCCTCCCTCCTCCCTCCTCCCTCCTCCCTCCTCCCTCCTCCCTCCTCCCTCCTCCCTCCTCCCTCCTCCCTCCTCCCTCCTCCCTCCTCCCTCCTCCCTCCTCCCTCCTCCCTCCTCCCTCCTCCCTCCTCCCTCCTCCCTCCTCCCTCCTCCCTCCTCCCTCCTCCCTCCTCCCTCCACCCACTTTCCTCTTCTATTAAATCTTTATTCTCTACTCTCTACTCTCTACCCTCTACTCTCTACCCTCTACTCTCTACCCTCTACTCTCTACCCTCTACTCTCTATCCTCTACTCTCTACTCTCTACTCTCTACTCCTTTACTTTCACTTTTCACTTTCCACTCTCTACTCTCTACTCTCTACTCTCTACTCTCTACTCTCCACACTCTACTCTTCACTCTCTACTCCCTCTACTCTCTATCTCTACTGTCTCTACTCTCTCTCTGCTCGTCCTACTCTGTACTCTCTACCCTCTACTCTCTACTCCTTTTCCTCTACCCTATACCTTCTACTCTCTAGCCTCTACCCTCTACTCTCTACTCTCTACTGCTTACTTTTTACTCCCTACTATCTACTCTCGACTCTCTACCATCTTCCCTCTTTCCTCTTCCCTCTACTCCCTTCCCTCTACTCTCTACTCCCTTTCCTCTACCCTCTACTCTCTATTTTTTATTTCCTACTATCTACTCTCTACCCTCTACTCTCTATTTTTTATTTCCTACTATCTACTCTCTACCCTCTACTCTCTATTTTTTATTTCCTACTATCTACTCTCTACCCTCTACTCTCTATTTTTTTATTTCCTACTATCTACTCTCGACTCTCTTTATTCTCTCTACTCTCTCTACTCTCTCTACTCTCTCTACTCCCTCTACTCTCTCTCTACTCTCTCTCTGCCCTCTCTGCTCTCTCTACTCTCTCTACTCTCTTTACTCTCTCTACTTTTTCTACTCTTTCTATTCTCTCTAGTCACTCTACTCACTCTACTCTCTCTACTCTCTCTATTCTCTCTACTCTCTCTACTCTCTCTACTCTCTCTACTCTCTCTACTCTCTCTACTCTCTCTACTCTCTCTACTCTCTCTACTCTCTCTACTCTCTCTACTCTCTCTACTCTCTCTACTCTCTCTACTCTCTTTACTCCCTCTACTCTCTCTACTGTCTCTACTCTCTTTACTCCCTCTACTATCTCTACTCTCTCTACTCTTGCTACTTTCTTTAATCTACTCTCTCTACTCAATTTCGAAAAAATGATTGAAAATCAAAATCCTTTAACCAACCAATTTTTCACCTTGGTATCCCCACAGAAAAATAGGTCAAGATGAAAAAGAATTTGTAGATAGATCGAAAACATCTCAAAAACTCAAGTTTTCAAAACAATCAATTCTTCACCTTGATCTTCCCTCAGAAAATGATAAGAGGAAAAAGATGACTGTATAAAATCGGTTTACTTACTTGGAGGGAAAGCAATTTGGAAGAATCAATTGAAAATAGATCAAAAAATCGAATTTTTATACCAAATAATTCTTCGCCTACAGAAAAATAGGAGAAGTGAGAGAAAAAAGATGGCGTTTTGAACATTGACTTACATTGGTACCTAAAAAAAATCAGAATTTTCAAGTAGAAGAAAAGCTATATACACATTGACTCACATACCTTGGAAAAGGAGCAACGTATGTTCCTTGAAAGAGGAGCAATTTGAAAAAAATACATGAAAAAATGTCTCTTCTCTCTTCTCTTCTCCTGAAGATGCTAACATAGTTACCGAAACACGTGTGGAGGCGTTTGAAAAAATCGGTTTGGATGAAATAATATATCATATTGTAGATATACAGTTTGTCCCACTTACCATGCTCACCATGGGTATCTTTTTAACGGTGAGAGATACGAGGTCGGTTAAATGACACCAAATGTGGAGTTTGTCAAGGCCAACTATAATATGAAAAAATATTCTGATAAAATCTATTCGTTTTTGTTTTATACGCAAAAAAAAAAGATTTTAATCATTTTCATGTCTCCTCCGTAACTTCTTTATTTATGAAAATATTCAAATGGGAATTTCACATTCTCATGGCAGTTTTTCAAAGTGATTTCGAAAAAAATTTGAAATTTATACCAACTCTTCTAGAATTTGAGATATCAGCACCAACTTTAGTTTTTCAAATGTAGGTCATAGCTCACTATGACATAGTTACAAATAACTTTTTTTTCTCTTACAGATGATATGTCGCAGTAATAATTTTGTTTCGATTACAACGGAGTTATCGTCATTTATACAAAAACAAAAGATTATTTAGGAGCCACCATCTTGAATATATGAATTTCAACAAAAAAATCATGATCTGCGACCTCAAGAACCCCCACTCACCAATTTTGATCGGAATCGGTCCAAAACTTGTCCGCCCTCTTGTAGCAGCCATTTTTTTTTAATTGATGGCGGACAAGATTTGGTCCGATTCCATTCAAAATTGATAAGTGGGGGTTTTTGAGGTCGGAGATCATGATTTTCTTGTTAAAATTTATAAATTCAAGATGGCGGCTTCCAAATAATTTTTTTTTTTGTATAAATGACGATAACTCCGTTGTTATCAACACAAAACTATTACTGCGACATATCATCTGTAAGAGAAAAAAAAGTTATTTGTAACTAAGTCATAGTGAGCTATGACCTACATTTGAAAAACTAAAGTTGATGCTAATATCTCAAATTCCCGAAGAGTTGGTATAAATTTCATATTTTATTCGAATTCACTCTGAAAAACTGCCATGAGAATGTGAAATTCCTATTTGAATATTTTCATAAATAAAGAAGTTACGGCCCGGAGAAGACATGAAAATGATTAAAATCTGTTTTTTGCGTATAAAACAAAAACGAATAGATTTTATCAAAATATTTTTTCACATTATAGTTGGCCTTGACAAACTCCACATTTGGTGTCATTTAACCGACCTCGTATCTCTCACCGTTAAAAAGATACCCATGGTGAGCATGGTAAGTGGGACACACTGTATATTCAGAATTCAGATGAACAGATTTGAAACAAAGGTCACGTTATAGGGTCTATATTCTATATCATACCGTACGGTGGAGAGAATCTACAAAGAATTGTTTTTCAAGGGTAAATCCCTTTTCTCCCTACATACACCTTTCTATTGAGAATTCTAATTGAATCTAGCAATTATCGAAAAATGATTTCAATTTCATTTTCTTGATAATGGTCGCAGATGCGTAAAAATTATGGGAGACAAAAAAGTGTATTAACGAAACAAAGAATTCACTTCGTATTTCAAAATTTACTAGCGCCGTACCACGAACAAGTTTATGGTAGCGAAAAATGGCTTAATCCCTTTTTGATCTTTTGAAATTTTCGAAATTTAACTGAAAAAATATGGAATCACCAATATTCCAAGATCTTACAAATTTCTGAATTCTTAGAAAATCTTCATTATCACCCAAATCTCAATTCTTACAATCACCAGAATCTTCAGTCTTCAAAATCTTAAAAATCTCCCAAATCTTCAGTCTTCAAAATCTTCTAGATATAAAAAATCTTCAATACCTTCAAAATATTCAAATTTATGGAGATAGTCTTCGAAATTCTGAAAATTCATCAGTAAAACCTACTTCTCATCACAGGAACATCATCGAACTCAGCGCGAACAGTGGGAAATACGCCAATTGGATAACGACTTGCTACAGCAGCGCCAATCGGAAAGAGACAGAGAACGGGAGCAAAAGGAACTAGCCGAACACCACAGGCTGCTTTTAGATTCGGAGCAAGACGATTATGTCCTGGAGTCAATGTGAGTAATAAAAGGATTTTTCGAACATACTGAAATTTTCTAGCAATAATAATATACAGGGTGTTTCAAAAAAACCTAACCCCCTTGCTAGGGTAGGTAGAACATTGCAAAATAAGTTGGGTTTGCTCAGTGAAAAAATTCATTTTTTTCTGTGACGGGAAAAAAGTTTGGCATTTCATCTCTGTTGGCAGGTTATAAAATGTCACTTTTCATAAATTACTTTTTTCCCGTGGGAAAAAAGTGAGTACTTTTTTCCCGGATATATATCACATATATATACACTGTTGATGGCTTTTATTGTGCTATAGTTCCGAAAAATGAGTCAATAATACCGTCTCCGAGAAAGAACTGCAAGTCCTTTTATCTTTCATTCGACTTCGCGGTTTCGTATATTACTGAACAACTACTGAATTCGCAATTTTTTAAAATCAAATCACAGAATTGAACTGACAGAAGTGACATCAGATATTTGA